AATAGATTGGTTATTCACATTACATGCTCTATTATTCATCCATCATTTTTATCTCAGGTAAAGAAAGTTTAAAAGAATAGATCAAACAACGTCTATATACATATATGCAAATACAATGTTATTATGTAAAATATACATTAAAATTTATTTACAATAATTTTTCTTACAGATGTTTCTTTATAAACTCTTTGAGAATTGGGGACAGCAAGAATTTGAGCAACATTTTAAAAAAATTCAAAAGTTCTATCAGGAGCGACGTGACATAATGCTGACTATGATTGAGAAACATTTAAATGGTATCTTAACATTAATTTTTTTTAAAAGACTTTTAATGTTAGAGATTTCTGAAAACAATCAAATAACAGTGAAAAATCAAGAAATTTCTCCATCGGACAAAAATTACTTCCTCAACTTTATCTAATATCATTTAATTTTTACTATTTATTTTGTAGCTGATTCAAATATGATGTTTTCTTCTCAATTTATTATTACTCATTGCAAGTTTCCAAATGGATATTTTAATAACTACTCCATAATTTAAAATTTTATGAAAAGGAAAAAAGACTGACTTAAAACTAAAAAACTATAATTGTGTATTTTTTTATGATACTTGATTTAATAAAAAAATTTTAATTTAAACAAAGAGTTCTGATATTTTTGTTAAAAAAGGTCAGTTTTTCAAGAAATCTAATAACAATTTTCGAATGCACTTATTTTAATGTTGTGTTAATCTAAATTTCAAAAGTAGCTTTAAAATTTTCACATAAAATCGTTTTCTGCTAGGTCTGGCGGAATGGTCCATACCACAAGGTGGAATGTTTTTTTGGATTAAACTATTAGGTGTGAATGATACAATGGATTTAGTGATGAACAAATGCGTACCACAAGGTATCTTCGTTCTTCCTGGCAATGCCTTCAACTATGATTCTTCAAAAGACGATTGTCATTTGAGACTTAGCTACAGCTATGCTTCACCGGAAGAAATGGACAAAGTAATTTTGAATATTATTAATTTTAATTGTCTCTGTCAAATACTGTAACAAATTCATATATTTATGTATGTATTGCAAAAAATGTACAAATTTATTAATTTTAATCACAATTAGAAAATCTACATAAAACAAATATATTTTTATATAATTCTTATAAATTACAAAAAAAGAAATATCATGCGTAAAGGTAAAAATATACATAAATATTTTTA